CGGTGAGTAGCTGGGGATACAGGCGCCCACCACAGGCGCACCGGCTTTAGTTTTGTTATTTTTTTAGTTCAGAGATGGGGTGTCCTGCGGTTAGCGCCCGTCGGCGCTGCCCAGTGCTGGGATTACAGCTGCCGGGGCTGTTGGAGGTTGTTTTGAGACAGGGAGTCTGCTCTGTATTGCCCGGCCTGGAGTGCAGTGGTGCAATCTTGGCTCACTGCAACCTCCGCCTCCCAGGTTCAAGCAATTCTCCTGCTTCAGCCTCCCTAGTAGCTGGGATTACAGGTGCCTGCCACAACTCCTAGCTTTTTTTTTTTTTTTTGTATTTTTAGTAGACACGAAGTTTCACCATGTTGGCTGGGCTGGTCTTGAACTCCTGACCTCAGATGATCCACCTGCCTCAGCCTCCCAAAGTCCTGAGATTACAAGTGTGAGCCACTGCGCCCAGGACCTTTTGAATATTCTTAAGGGTAACATTATAGAGCTGGATTTACCATGGACTGGTTAATTTTGGGCAAATCCCTTAAATGAGACAGAAGAATCTCTCTCCAATTCTGATGTCAGAATGCTAATGTCTGTCAACCCTACCTCTTAGGATTATTATGAGAAACATATAACATGACTTTGGTGAAATTTTCTTGTGAGCTATTCATGCACTCTATGTGCAAAGAATCATTAATAATAACTGTCCAATAAGAGAGCTTTAGGTCTAACCTTCCATTAATTTAATGGAAATATGGGATATTAAAATATAAGTGAAAGATGACTTATTTCCTTCCAGTTTCAGATAAATGTGAATGCATTCCAGATTGAATGGTTTATTTCACAAAGAGAATAAACCTCATGTCAAGCTTTGTGTGCAATCAAATTTCAATGAAACATACTTCTCTACGGTGGATGAATACATTTTTAAAGCTTAGTGAGATGCAACTTACAATAACTACAACTCTTTATTATAGAAACAGCTAAAACCCAATAATAGGCATTTATATATTTAGTAAGAACATCATAGTAACTTAAAAATAAAATCAGGGAAAAGACGGATCTAGCATGGTAAATGTAGAAACAGGAATAGAATTACCTGCCAATGAAACAAACATGGAGAATAAATAAAAGATTTCAGGCAAAGGAGACAGGACAATAGGAGCCCTGTCCAGTTTCCAGCCAAGGAAATGACCTGGTCTAATAGGATTTGATATACCTCAGTGAGACGCCCTTTCCTTTAATTTCTTCATTTCCTGCCCTCTCCCCATCCCCAAGGTACAAAGTGTGTTCCGTCACTTAAAGTGGCTGGAGCTGGCTTATTTTTATTTAGCTTTCATTATTTGCAAAGCATTCTTTTTTATAGTAAGGCTAGAGGGCATTCAGTAAAATTAATGTATTTCCAAAAGTATCATTTAATCAACTTTTAATATTGGACTATTTATAAACTTCTTTATTAAAGTAAAATAACAATGTTCTTAATGTTTATGTAGCCTGGAAGATGAGCAAAGATAAAATCAGAAATCAACTTTCCTACCTCCCCACAACCGATTGCCTCCTTAAAACCACCCCCACTTTGAGGGGCAAACCCCTGTTACTTAGTGAAATATAGAGCAATTCTCAGAATGTATCCATTCACTCCCAGGTCACAAAATGTCCTCTAATCACCTTTCCTCTCGAGAATTGTCTCCTTTACCAGTTGCAATTCTGTGTACTCCATAAAAATCAAGATGCCAACCTGTGATCCAAGTTCTCTTCACAAGTTTGGGTCCACTTTAATGAGCAGGTCCCTTATAGTGAACTTTCTTCCTATTTCCAGGCATGAGGCTTCCATTGCTTCATCATACACCCATGAAACACTATGACTCATGGAGGACTGAAGTGAGAGGTATTACAGAGAAAGGCAGAGCTCGGCACTAATAAAGTTATCGACATGCCCCCTTGTAAACTGTTGTGTGATTCCTTTGAAAGTAATAGGAGGTTGGGTGCTGAATTCTTCAGGGCATCCTTGGGGGTTAAGATCCCTGCCCATGAATGGTTATCCGTCATGTGCAGTTTTCCCAGGTAGAATGAATCCCTCAGCCTCAGCTGTTCTCCTGAGGCTGGTCTCTCCAGCTGGGATCTGGGATGATGCACTTCCAGCTGCTTCCTGCAGAGACAGCCTCATTGGCCAGGGCTTTCTTTGACAAGATCTAAGATAATCCCAGGCTAAGCTTTGTCTCACAATGCCCACCACAGAGTGATAAGAAAGATGCAATCTGGCCTACTATTGGGGGAATACAATTATTTCCAGGCTGTAGCCTTCTTTGGTTTTGCTCTGGGCCTCTTCACAAGCCTCTCATCCTTTAACGATTTTCTGGAATAAATCTGACACTTCTTTGTCCCTGTAGGTCCAGGGATGCACATCGAGTTCTCTGTCAGGGAAGGGGAAGAAGATGAGCACTCAGCATCCATCCAATCTCTCCAACGGGAGACCGCAGCTCTTCCCTCATACCCTTCAGGGGGATGCTGAGCCTAAGGCCAGGAAACCATTTTGGACACTGCTTTGCAAGTCCTGCAAAGCAAGTCCGTGCCTCCCTTTGGAATGTGGAGTGGTTGGCACCTGATGTATATCCCCATAAAGTTACTCAAAAAGAGCGCTGTTGTAGACACTTAATCTAGTTATAAAGAGTATAAGCAAATCTGTGGGATTCACTTTATTTTTTTATTTTTATTTTACTTATTTATTTTGAGATGGATTCTTGCTTTGTTGTCCAGGGTGAAGTGCAGTGGCATGATCTAGGCTCACTGCAACCTCCATCTCCAAGTTTCAAGTGATTCTGCTGCCTCAGCCTCCCCAGTACCTGGTATTACAGGTGCCCGCCACCACACCCACCTAATTTTTGTATTTTTAGTAGAGACAGAGTTTCGTCATGTTGCCCAGGCTGGTCTCAAACTCCTGATCTCAGGTGATCCACCCACCTCGGCCTCCCAAAGTGCTGTGAATACAGGTGTGAGCTGCCGTGCCTGGCCTTCACTTTAAACTTTTAATGTTTTACTCTTTCATATTCAGTATCTAAAGTTATCCAATTTTCTGATAAGATGAGCAAAAACCACAATAGAAACAAAGAAAACCACCGTTTAAAAAACGACATGGTCAAGCTGATCTTACCACAGTGGCATTTATATTTAGTTGGTGTTATGAATTGAATTGTGCCCACTTCCTTCCTTTCTCCCTCCACCAAAAAAAAAACAAAAAACAAACAAACAAAAAAAAACACACATTTAAGTCCTAATCCTAGGAATATGACCTTATTTGAAAATGGGGTATTTGCAGATGCAATCAAGTTATAATGAGATCATACTTAATTAGGGTGAGTTCATACAGCTGATGTCCTTATTAGAAGAAAAAGCAGACACTGGATGAAGACACTGGACACAGACACAGTGGACAACACCTTGTGGAGCACAGAGATTGAAGTGATGCATCTACAAGTCAAGGGTTGCCAGCAATGCCCTAAAGCTAAGGCAGGAGCACAGAAGAGACCATGCCAACACATTGACTCCAGAGTTCGAGTTTCCAGAACTTTGAGAGAACAAATTTCTGTGGTACTTTACCAAACTCATGCACTTAAGAGGGAGGGATGATAGGGAAAATGTTTTGCTTGAGATCAAAGTCCAGGGGTTTACACGTATTCCTACATAGTATCATTCTAGTAAAAATATATCTTAGAGACAAAATTCATTATTTTTTTTAAAAAACTATCTACTTATTTAAACAATATGTTGCCTCCACCCCATCCCAGTGTCCCACTGAAATATTAGGAAGCCAACAAGCCTGTTTGCCTGAAGATGTATAGAAAGGTCTCTTATTCTTCTCTCATCTTTCACCTGCTGGTTCAGAAATTAAGGTTGCACCATTCAAAACTAACAATCAGACATAAACTGGAAGTAGCTTGTTGGAATTTCTTAGCAATACTTTTGTAATCCTATAATGCTGTCCATTTTTCTACAACCAGCAAATCATCGCCTCTACGAAAATCACAATAAAAATGTAAGGCACACTGCATGCAGAAGGTGAAGGTGCAAATCCCATAAATAAAGTCCCACAGGCTGAGGCAAAAAAAAAAAAAAAAAAAGTGAGAGACACAGAGAGCGAGCCTGGGAGCTGTGCTCACTGGAAATTACAGGTGTTTGTATACTCCATTGACTCAAAGTGTTGGAAAGCTAAGAAGTATGAGTGGTTAAATATATGCTGCTCAATTTTGAAGAGCAAGTTTACAGCCTAGTAATGACTTTATTTTAAACCGATTCAGGCAACAGCATGGAAAGAATGTAGTATCAAGAACTATCTCACACCCTGACAGCTGACAATAACATTCACAGAAGAAAAGCTTTTGAAAATATAGATATGAAATATCATCTTAAAAATTCAACTTTAAAAACACACCATAGAATATAATTTTGGGGGCAACTAGGAGAAATCATTAGAATAAAGTTTGAAATCCTAAAAATGTATGCAGGGAAAGGTGATTTCTGTGAGTCAGGAAAACAAGTTAACATGAAGAAAACGGCGGGGTGGTGGGAGATGAAAATGGGGATGACGAATATGTCTAGGAATTCAGTGGCAGAATTGAAATCTGCATTGTTGTAGTCAAGGGAAAAATGACCTTGAGGAAAAGTAAGATAATGATGTGAAATAAATTTGGAAGACATGGGAAACTGCAAGAGAAGAAAGATACGAAAGTTATTTGCATTTATCTGATAAAAACAGAAGGACAAAAATTGAGAACTCGTGAAATAATTTTTGTTTTGTATTATTTTTTCCAGAAACAGAAGCATGAGAATAGCATCCAAATACATACGGAAGTCTCCCAAATATTTATATTTTAGTTTTGATATCAAGAATATATATTTTTTATTATATTTGTCTCCTCCTTTCACTTTTATGTTTTGTCAGACATTTCACATGAGAACCACTGCACCCAAGCATGCTTATCTATCTTTCAAAGCACGCTTATCTCTCTATCTTGTTTCAATGAATGGCATCAGCCTTCACCTCATCACCTAAACCTTCTGAAACATGGCGTCATCAATGACTCCTTTCTTCCTTTCTTATCCCAACACTAATCCGTCCACTTGTCTTTTCTAACTCCCAACAGCCTCTTCAGTCTTTATGTAATTTCTCCATCTCTACCTTAATTCAAGCCAAGGTTATTTTAATATTCCTAAAATTGTTTCCTCTCCATTATTACCCACTGTATCAAATTCCTTCTCTGTTACATTTAACCAAAAAGAACTTTAAAAGCAAATTCAATCACATCACTTCCCTAATTAAAATATTTCCACCCTCTTCCTATTCCAGGAAGACAAAGTTCAACATGACTTTCAAGGCATCCCTTATTTTAGAAAGTACCCCTAGTTTTCATTTTCAGCCTCATCTCAGATGCTGGCACCACTCCATGTCTCTTCCATCTTACACACAAAGACCATTCAGAGGTAATTTTAGGTCAAAACATGCTGGTTTTTGTTAAGTCCAGGGCCTGACAGGTCAAGATAAGAATACTGACTTTCATTCCCAGTGGGAGGAAAAGCTAAGGAGCCTTTCCAGCTGAGTAAGTGGCACACTGCCATTATGTATGGTCACTCTTGTGACTGGTCTAGAACAAAGGGTAATTTGTAAACCACAAAGTATCTGAGACAAGTCTCAATCAATTTAGAAAGTTTATTTTGCCAAGGTTAAGGATGTACCCATGACAGCCTCAGGAGGTCCTGATGACATGTGCCCAAGGTGGTCAGGGGACAGCTTGGTTTTATACATTTTAGGGAGATATGAGATGTATTAGTGCATTCTCACGCGGCGCTGCTAATAAAGGCATAGCTGAGGCTAAGGTTTAACTGACTCACAGTTCGGCATGACGGACGGAGCCTCAGTAAACTTACAATCATGGAGGAGGTGGAAACAAAAATGTGCTTCTTCACAAGGCAGCAGCAAGGAGAAGTGCAGAGCAAAGGCTGTGAAACCATCAGATCCCATGAGAACTCCACTCACTATCATGAGAACAGCATGGAGGTAATTGGCCCCACGATTCAATTATTTCCCACCAGGTCCCTCCAGCTCATTGTGGGGATTATGGGAACTACAGTTCAAGATGAGATTTACTTCTGTCCTTGGGTTTTCTTCATTGTATTGTTATAACTTCTTCAATACATGCCAAACTTACTTATTTTAGTCATTTTCTTTTCTAACATCTGCATTAAATCCATTTCTGTCTGACTGTAAGTTACTAGGCTTAATATATATTTTCATTATCTGTTTTTTAAAAATATTGTCTGATACCTATTTTGCATTTTTCTTTGACCCAAGAGTTTTGTAAGACGGCATTCATTGATCTGTAAACTAGTTGTCCTTTGATCATTTATTTTCAAATTAATGTTTTTGCTTTCAGAGACAGTTATCTGCATAACATAAATCTTTCAAATACCATGGAAACACCTTTTATATCTGTCAGTTTTATAGGTTTCCCATGGATTTGTAAAAGAAACCTGTATTCTGTAATTATGGAGTATATTAATATTATATATAAATATATATGCATATATATTTATATATAGCCAATTCTCTACAAAAAATACACAAATGGCCGACAAGCATATGGAAACATGCTCAACATCTAATTATCAGGGAAATACAAATCAAAACCACAATGTGATACCACCTCACTCCTGCAAGAATGGCCATAACCAAAAAATTGAAACATAATAGATGTTGGCATGGATGCAGTGAAAAGGAAACAGTGTTGGTGGGAATGTAAACTTGTACTACCATTATGGAAAACAGTGTGGAGGTTCCTTACAGAACTAAAAGTAGAACTACCATTTGATCCAGCAATCCCACTACTAGGTATCTACCCAGAGGAAAATAAGTCATTATATGAAAAAGATACTTGCACATGCATGCTTCTAGCAGTACAATTCACAATTGCAAAAATATGGAACCAGCCCGAATGCCCATCAATGAACAAGTGGATAAAGAAAATGTGGCGCATATATATATGTTATATATATACACACAAACACACATATATATATTACTCAGCCATAAAAGATAATGAAATAATGGCATTCCCAACAACTTGGATAGAATTTGAGACTATTATTCTAAGTGAAGTAATTCAGTAATAGAAAACCAAACAAACATCATATATTCTCACTCATGTGTAAGAGCTAAGCTATATGAGGATGTAAAAGCTAATAATGATACATTGGACTTTGGGGACTTGGGGGAAAGAATAGGGGGTGGCGAGGGATAAAAGACTACACATTGGGTACAGTGTATACTGTTCCGGTGATGGGTGCACCAGAATCTCAGAAATCACCTCTAAAGAACTTATTCATGTAACCAAACAGTACCTGTTCCCCAAAATCTATTGAAATTTAAGAAAAAAGATTAAAAAATAAAAATAAAAATAAACTTGGCCTGAAATTCAAAAAAGAAAAGAAAAGAAAGAAATGATTGAGTTAAGATAAGGGGGACTGTGGAAACCAAGGTACTTGTTACGTGGATGAAGCCTCCAGGTAGCAGG